CCGTCCTGTTCAGCACACGCGCGTTGAGCCTCCGTGAAGGTCAGCTTGTAGCGGCCTCCACGGGGGTGGTAAGGGAAGACAACGCCTGAGAGGACACACGAAGGTCAGCTGGGGCCCCTCAGCTCGCTCCCACCCACCTGACATCTGGGGTACTGTGTGACTCTTCAACCCAGGCCTTCCAGTCCATTCCTCACTGTGGCCTCAGACCTGACCATGCCTTTCCCCAGTTCACATGCCTCATGGCTCTTTGCCTTAAGTTTGGGATTCACTTGACCCTCCCCCTTTCCACCACCGGAGACCTTTGTTCATGTTCTCTCCACCTTTCCACCTGATGAACTACTATTCATCCTTCAAAATCCAGCTCCCACAACCCTCTTCCATTCAGTTCTATGAGCTTCTGACATCCTCCCAGCATTGGGACCTTCTTTCTAGTTAAGTCCTGAGCCCACAGAGCTGACTCCCCCACACAGGAAGCTCCTGAAAGTTTGACCCTGGGCAAAGACCTCTGATCTCCACCATTTTCCAGAAGAGTTCCCATCGGCTTCACTTACACCTTCAGTTCTTACAACTTGTCCCTCATTAGAATCACAGTCAACTCAGGTCACAAGTGTTGTTTGTCTGTGTTTGAGGGGCGGACTTTGAGGGTGCAGATGCAGATACATCTCTCAGCAGATGCAGGAAGGATCAAACAGGGGCCAGAGAGAAGAGCTGGAGCCTGACAGACCAGAGCTCAAGTCCCAACTCTGACTCTCATTGGCATGTGCCGTGATCAAGGCGCTAACCTCTCTGAACCAGTTGCCCATCTGCTAGTAAAAGTGTCTCCCTCAGGGTTTGGGGAAAATTAAATGAGAGACTCCAGAGAGCACTTTAACCAAGTGCCTGGCACATAGAACACACCCAATAAAGGAGAGCTGCTTCTATTATTGCTGTTGTTATTTGCTATTGTTCAGCAGGTGAGGGTTCTGAAATCTCTCCTAGCATCTTCTAAGGTGGACTGAGGAAAGAAACCAGATGGGAGGGAATTCTTCAGATAGAAACCTCCCAGCTCCACAGTCAGCCAATCAGAGCATCCCATCTCCCAGGAACAGTGATTGGCTCATGGATAGGCACATGACTCAAGCTGGACCCATGAGGGACAACTCTGGGACTCTACCTAGCACTTCTAGGAAATCAGTTGTCAAGCTGGGAGAGTGGAAGCCTGGCACTACTTTTTGGTTCCATCAGCGGAAACTTGTGCAGGAAGAGCCCACCCAGGGAAGCAGAGCTGAGGGAGTTTCTCCTGACATGGTGCGGGTGGCTGGCTCTCACTGTGCCTGGATCTTACCTCAGAGTTTCCCAATGTCTTCACTATTGACATTTTGGATTGGATTATTCTTTGTTGTGGGGGGAGTGTTCTGTATGTTGTGGGATATTTCACAGCGTCCCTGATATCTACCCACTATATACCACCACATCCTGCTTCTAGACATTGCCAATATCCCTGGGTAGCAAAATCACCCCAAATCAGAACAATTATCCTGCCCTACCAAGCCTCTAAATTCCTTCAGGCCAACTTGATTTGGTTTCTGCCCTTTGCAATACCCTTCCCTCTCCTCCCTTAGAAACGCGCCTCATCCTGCCCACAGGCTGGTCACCTTCTAGGTCCAGCTTGACCATGCCAGTGTCATCCTCCAGCTCGTTGGTGACCTCGCACTCATATCGCCCATAGTCCTGCAGCGTGACGTTTCGGAGAACCAAGGAGGCATCCCCGGGCCCATCGCCCTGCAGCTCAGCCCGCCCGCGGTAGCTGCCAAACGCCCGGTGCTGGGGCCCCAACGCCACGAAGACATCGGCAAAGGCCAGCGGATCCACCACCTTGGTCCACTTGAGGCGGACGCCGTCGTGGCCGTGGGCGGCTGCCTCGTAGTGGTAGCGGCAGGGCAAGACAATGGTGCCACCCCGGTGGCTGACCACTTGCCCTGGCGCCGTCTGCACCACCACCGAGCCCGACTCCCCCTCTGCGGGCAACCAAGGAGGGTTAAGAAGAAATCCTAGAGGCAGGCAGGAGAACCCAGGGAGGGGGACCCTGGGAAGATGTGGGAAGAAAATTTGGGTGGAGGTAAAGGGACTCAGGGAAGGGACTACGGAGGGGGCGGAGACTCAGAGTGGGAGGAACGGAGAGGGAGGGGATTGTGGCCATCAGGAACGCCGGGGACCCGCCCTCCTCCCCTCTCCATGCATTCCGGCGATCCTACTTAGTCCCGGCTTCTGCGGGACAAGATCAGCTTCCAGGGCCCTGACTCACCCAGCACGTGCACAACCTTTTTCCGGCCGCGCTGCGCCTCCGCGGCGGCAGTGAGCAGCAGAACTCCCCATGCAACGGCCCAGAGCGCCCCGGGACCGAGGGCCGCCCGAGCACACACCTGGGGGCACAGGGCGCTCAGTCCAGCCTCCTGGCCTTTGCCTTTTGGAGGAATAGCCCCCTGGCCTTCCTTCCCCGCGGCGAAGACTTCTTATGCGCCCAGGTCCCCACTCCCGCCAGGGTCCCAGAGGACTCCCTCAAGCAGAAAATTAGCAGACTCTCCCACACACCCCCAACTCTCCCGGGACCTCACACCTCGCCCTTGAGCAAAGCCCACGCCCTGGCCTCACTCTCCCCTAGTTCTGCACCCGCCTGACCCCCTAACCCCAACACTGGAGGCTCGGAGCCCCGCCCCTTCTCTCAGTCTCTGGCCGGGGCCGGGATTCGGGAGGAGGGAGGAGGAGCTGGAGCAGCGGCAGCGGCAAGGTTATCCGTGCGCCAGGAGACTGCAGCAAACCCATGCAGGTGGGGGTGGGGGGCGAGGGGGTGGTAGAGGCAGAGAGAGAGAGACACAGAGAGAGGGCAAGAACAGGGAAAGAGACAGAGACAGAGAGAAAGGCAGGGAGAGGTGGAGACAGAGAAGGAAGGAGACACAGACAAGAGGAAGGAAAGACGGAGAGAGACAAAGGGAGAGACAGAGAAGAGTGTGGGAGGGAGAGAAACACAGAGAAGGGTTAGGAAAGATGGAGAGAGACAGAGACAGAGAAACTGAAATGGAGAAAGGAGAGAGCAAGAGGGAAAGATAGAATAGGGAGACATAGGGGTTGGGAGAGACAGAGAGACTCAGAGAGGAGAGAAAAGGATCAGAAAAAAGAGAGAGAGGGAGAGAGAGAGAGAAAAGTAGAGAGAGACATAGAGGAATAAGAGAAGGAGAGGCAGAGAGAGAGTGGGAGGAAAAGAGATACAAGAAGGTGAGAGGGAGAGAGATGGGAGAGATGGGAAGGGGAGAGTGAGGAGAGAAACACTGAGGGATGTAGACTCAGAGACACAGAGACAGAAATCCCAGAGAAGGATCTACTGTGCCCTTGGCCCCACTCACCATCCTGCTGGTGCGGCCCCCCGCCAGTGGGTCCCAATGTGCGGGGACTGCGCTCCCCCGCACACCCGGGAAGGACTGGGCAGGTCCCTGCAGGCAGCAGCGCAATCCTGGCGTCTGCCTGCAAGGGGAGGAGGGAGGCGGACCTGGGAGGGGGGTGCGTTAAAGGAGACGTGGTGTCACTTGCTCTGGAGAGAGGTGACTGTGGGCATAAACGGAGGAAGAACCACCCTGGACAGTGAGTGCAGAGCCAGGTCCCAGCCCCAGCTGGCTGACCTTGGACCAGCAGAGGAATGTCTCTGGGCCTCAGTTTAACTATCTTTAAAATGGAGGAGGGGGCCTGATGATGCCCTCATGGGCAGGAGGGCTGAGTAACCTGGGAAAGGGGCTTGTTTTTCCATCTATCACTGGGTGACCATCAAGGGGCCCTGGGCTCTGGCAGCCAAAAGGTTCTCACTCTGTGGAATGGGGGGCCTACAAAAGTCACACATTTGGCAGAGGGGACCTGTAGCAACAGGTCCAAATCTGACTCTGCCCCTCACTCTATGCCTCAGTTTCCACATCTGGGATATGGATTGCTGGGTCTTTGGGAGAAGATCCAATGGATACAATAGGTGCCTAATAAGTGTTGGAAGGAGCTGAGAGCAGGGACATCTGATCAAGTCCCTGACCCACTCTGGGCCAGAGTCACCCCTGAAACTGGACCTTCACTCAAGTTCAAAAATCAAACCAGGAAACAATGAGCCCTTCCCCCAACATTTTGGCTGCCTCCCCAACTTCAGTTTCCTCAAAATAGGGGCCTGCCAGACAGCAGAGGCAGGGTTATGGGCTCTGTGGTTGAAGGGGCTGGGGTTTGGTCACTAGCTCAGCTGCATCCAGGAGGCATGACCACAGACCGGGACCTTTACCTCCTGCAGGCTTAGTTTCCCCATACAGAATATGGGGTGAGATCCAGCATTGTAGCATGTGAGGTTAGGCATTGGCATGGTATACAGTAGGTGCTTAATAATTCTGCCACATTGTTAGTTATTATGATTTATTGGTGGAGCTTAGACTTTGGACACTTCTCTCCTGATTGTGACCTCAGGCCAGTCTCTGATCTTCAGTCTCTGAGCCTCAGTTTTCCCTATCTGGAAGATGGGGCTGTGCACACAAACCAGAGGCAGACTTCTGCTGTCTGGCACCTCCAGCCCCTGATGGTTAAGCTGGCAGTGATAAGCGGGTCCTTGTGGGGTCTGAGAAGAGGATCCCTTGCCCCTGCCCACCAAAACACTCAGAACAAAATTTTGTGCATCAAAAGGGCTTTTACTAAACTGATCCATGGGAGGATGATGGGTAAATCCTGGGTGTTCTTGTGGGGTTTAGAGGAGGTGACAGCTGAGTGTGGCTGTGACCCTCTCTGCTGGAACACCTGGACTTTGGATCCCCCATCCCACCCGCTGGCCTGGAATCACCATAGCCAGAACTGAAGGCACCCAGAGATGGATCTTCTGCCTCTAAAAAACACAGCCCACCCTTCCAGGGGCAGGGCTTGCTGGGCATGTAAACAGAGTCTTGGGGTGTCCCACAGCCCCCTCAGTGCTGCTTCTTGTGGTGGGCTGGGGAGCCAGGAGGTGGGTGTAGGAAGAAGGCAGGCCGCCATAGGCAGCGGCAGGCCAGCAAGTGGGGACCCAGCGCATACAGTAGGTTGCTCACAAAGAAGCAGGTCCAGGCATCCTCAGGCACACGGTAGGTGAAGGGCGTGCGCAGGTGCATGGAGGCACCCATGTGCGAAAACTGTGCCTGGTGGCCACAGAAGATGAATGTCACAGGTCAGGAGAGAACAAGTCCCAGCATCACCAACATGTCATCCTGGGGGGCCCAGAAGATCCCCATCACTATCTTGCTAGCTTGGCTGACCTGTCTCCCCTCTTCAGTCCATCTGTCTCTAAATATTACTGTCCCCACATGTTCTGTCTATCCTTATCCATCTAGCCGTGAGCCTCTCCCCAGCTGCCTAACCAGAACCATCTTCACTCCGTCTGCTGGACCTTCCTCCCTAGCTCTCTGACCTACGTCCAGCTCCTCCTCCTGGTTCTCCCCACCCCGGGGCAGCTGCCCTTGACAAATCCTGTCGATTCTACCCCTAACAGAGGTCCTACTGGTCCCCATTGATCTGACCTGGGCCCAGCCTTTATCGCTTCCCACCAGGAACTTGGAAACAAGCCCCCAACTCCAGCGGGGCCCTCCACTGCTCAAACACCTTCCATGTTCCCCATCATTCTTAGCACAAGCCCTCAAGCCTGGAATTCAAAGCCCTTAGCATCTAGCTGCCAATTTATCTTGCCTCTGCCTTTACCCACATTATGGCTCTGCTAAATCCCTGTTCCCCTCTGTGCATTTCTTTATGCTGTTCCCACTCCTGGAATGTCCTTCCCTGCCTGAAGAACTTGTACCCATATATCAAAGCCCAGTTCCTATGCTCCCTCTTCTGAGAGATCTGCCCCCTCTGAAATCCTTCTCAACCTCTGTTCTTCCCTTTTCAGTTCTGACCCCATAGGGTTGAGGGTGTCTGTGGCTCTTTCTCCACCACACTTGAGAATCCTGGGGTACCAAGCTGGGTCTGGGACCTGTCAGGGACCTAGCATCATCCTGCCCAGGGTGAGCACAAAAGCAATTGATGAGCATGCAGAAACTTGCTTCCCTATGCACCTATTTACTACACCGCATCCCACCCCACCTCACCTGGCCGATGGCTCCAGCAAACACCAAGGTCCAGTCTGGCAGCCAGGAGCAGCCGGGAAAGATGAGGGCATAGGCAGCCAGGCCATAGAAGGGCAGAACATAGAACATATTCACCAGCATCTGGGGGACACAGAGCTGATGGAATGAGTAGCTACCCTAGTTGGGTCTCCTGATACCCTTCAGGTGGTGGCCCCAGGGAGGATCTGGCCAGCCTCAGACCCCACCCAGGGGGCTCTGCACATCCCACCCCTGTGAAAACTGCTCCTTTGTTTCCCTTGGGTTCCCCCTCCTCACTCCCACACACTGAGCCCACCAACTTTACTCCAGAAGTAGCATGTGACCCTGACCTGGCCAATCAGAATACCCCCACCCCCTGGCCAGAATAATCAGCTATGGGCATGTGATTTAAACTTGGCCAGTCAGAGCCTGCCTAAGACTTGTACTTAAGCTCTGAGGAATTAAGGTCTCACTCCTCTGTAGTGGCTGAGTAGGGAGAATAGAAGCCTGGAGCTACCCTAGGCTGTCTCTGCCATACTACAAAGGTACCACCTGGGAGTGGAGCCCATGCAAAGAAAGCAGAGACTAGAGACAGAGCTATCCCTGAGCTCCTGGATCCAGCCATACCTGAAGACCATATTATACTTCTTTGGTAGGACAATAGATTCCATTTGTGCTTCTGCCAGTTTGATCTGTGTTTCTGGCACCTGCTTCAAAGGGGCCCAGTGGACCCCTAACCATGGCAAGACTGTGGCCCTCTCCTCCCACCTGCTCTCTCACCTGCACCTTTGGATAGGCCACGGGGTCCCGCAGGTATGGCTCATACTGATAGATGTAGACAAAGCAGGCATCCATGGGGCAGTCAAGCACCACCTGGGGCCCACAGACAAACCAACAACCTACCTCAAACATCCCTCCCACAGGAAGCCTTCCCCACCCTCCCAGGAGGGGCCCACATCCTTCGCTCTGGCCTGCTCCAGCCTTGGCTCCCTCCTCTGGCTGAGAATCCACAGATATTTGAACTGGGGAGAAGGCTATACGGAATAGGGCTTTGTGACAGAACGTTCAGGTAGACTTGATGAACGTCCCTGGATGATCAGATGGGAGAGCAGTGACTTTTTGGCACTGGATAAAGGAACACAAAGGAGGGAGGGATGGACTAGGGCTTGGGGCTGAAGGTAGGTAGGCTGGCCAGCGCAGACTCACCAGGCCCCGGAAGAGGGTGAAGAACGCAGCAAAGATGAGGTAAACGATGAGGCCCAGGTCAACTGGGCGCTGCAGAAGCCCTTTCCTTTGCTCCTCTTGCACCTGCCCCATGAGAGACAGTGTGAGAAGTCTGGGATTCAACAGGCACTCAGTGAAGACTCATCCCTTCTTCCCTAATGACCAAGACCTTTTCAAGAAGACAATGTCTTTGACCAGAAGCAACTCAAATGGGGGACATTCAAGCACTCGGCACTCGGCTACCTGGGGGCAAGGCACTCACCACGTTGAAGGTGCAGCAGGTTGGCGCCTGAGTCTGGCTGAAGACCCTCAAGCCAGCCCAGCATGGAACCAACACGTAGGGGATGGTGAGGAAAAAGGCAGGCCTGGTCTCTGAGCTGTATTTGCCTTCCATGGTAGGAGAGATAGGGTGACACTCAGTGAGGATCTCCCAGGCCTGGTTGGACACTTTTAGCTGGATCAGAGCCCCTGGCTGGAAGCTGTGATTCACAAATGCTATCCTTGTTCAAGCTCTAACACCTCCAACTCCCTGGTGCCCATAAGATGATGTCCATGATCCTCAGCCTGGCCTGCCTCAATTTACCTTCAACATGGCTCCCATACTTCAGCTATTCTTTGGTATTCCTCTTGCAAGCCATCCCCACATCCCTAGCTGCCTTCTCTGCTCTACCTTCCAAGACTTACCTATGAAGCATTCATTCTGCCTTCTGGATCCCCCTTAAAAATTCCTTCTTGTGTCAAGAGCATTCTGGACCAAGTCACTGGGGTCAGGGACCAGCAGCCCAGGAAGGAAGTAGAATGTGCTTCCACTCCTCCAAGAGAGGGAGAGGTTGCAAAAGGCTGCTGGCTTAGGCTGTGAATGGAGAGGCTTGGGGGGCCCTCCACAAACACTGGGGAGGATATGGAGGATCTGGTGGGGACTTTCAGGCACAGGGAAGTGACCCATCCCAGGGAGACAGAGTTCCTCAGAGCCAAGTCCATACCAAGGATGTTTCCTGGGAGGAACACCAGGATGCTCATGATGAAGGATCCCAGCCAGTACAGTCCAAGGTTCCGGTACCTCTTCCTGGGCAGGGGATGAGGGGTGACCAGTAGATACCTGTCTCCCAGTCTCAGAGCCCCAGCCAGGGCCCAGAGACCAATCTGGGCTTCCCAGCTCTGGGTCCCTCCCAGTTTC